TCTCTCCTCTCCTCCTCCTCCTCTCCTCCTTCCTCCTCCTCCTCCTTCCTCCTTCCTCCTCCTCCTCCTCCTCCTCCTCCTCCTCCTCCTCCTTCTCCTCCTACTCCTCCTCCTCCTCCTCCTCCTCCTCCTCCTCCTCCTCTTCTCCTTTCTCTTCCTCTTTCTCTTCCTCTACACTCCCTTTATTGGCACACCCGGTATAATAAGGAGCGAGTTTGTATTTAGTCGGCCATGCGCAGTACTGCCTGTTGGCGTATCATCGATCAGACCGGCGACTGACTATTGGACCAAAACAAGAGGATGAGAATGGAAATGGGGATAAAGAGAGGGTACCGACTGACAGAAAGCACAACGGAGATAGTCAGAAAAGTAGGAAGGGCGGAACATGTTAAGGGGGTCGTGGAGGGACAGAGAGCAATTCTTAGTTGGAGTTAGCCAGACAAACAGAAAGAATTTTAAACGAGAAGTAGCGGTTTAAAATTAAAAAATATTAATACTAAATAATTTGTGCGCTACTAAAAGATCGTAAAATTAAAAGAAAGAAGAGAGTAAATGAGGAAAATGAGGTGAGGTGAAGAAAAACAAAAAGAGGAACAAAAGGAGAAAAACACTTTTATTTGTTTACTATTTCTATTATAATCGAGTTAGGTATTAGCTGTTATATTGAAAGTATAAAACTCTATAAGTCTAAAGTTACCGTCAGATTCTACTAAGAATAAAGACTCTCGAAGATCTGTCTACTAAGTGTAAGCTTTTTGATTTTTGATTTTTTACTGTGAAAAGAGAAAATAAGGTGGAAAAATTGCCAAGATGGTTTATGATATTTCGAATAAAATTCCAAATATTTTGGACGTTTCAATACACTATGGTGCCATTAATTATAAAACGCATAATGCTATTTGTTATATTTATTACATTGATTGTATTATTCCTTTTTTCTTAATTCTATATATCAAATATTTAAGTGCAATGTATGAAAATTTAAATCTGCTTTATATGTAATACAAATTATTGGAAAATTTTAACACACATAGTTGAATTATATTATGAGAATATATATTATACATTAATATATAAAAATCAAATAAATAGTAACAAAATAGTGTAATAATATAACTTTTAGTCTTAAAAAGATTTAATCTTTCAACGATTTATACTTAAATTCTTTAAATTTCTCAGTTTAAAAAAACAATTAATTAAATTAAAATAAAAATATTAAATTAGATAAAAACTATAAAGTTTACATATATACATATGCCATTGTAAGTACAATATATATATAATTTACAGGAGTTATATTACATATAAAAAAAAGAATACATTTATGATGTATTCACACAAATTTTGTATATTAAGTACTTTTTTTGCAGAAAAATCTGTTATACTTATTTATCAATTATGCAAAATTTTATACAGAAAGAATAATTTTGCTATAATATTTAAAAATTTGACTAGACACAAATCAGAAAATAATTCTTAAGATATTAAAATAGTTATGTTCAAATTGATTGTTAAAAGATTGAAACTTTTTGCTGTATTATCATTATGTTTAATCATTTTATATAATACTTTTAATGGCTCTACAAAATTAGTTTTAAATCTGTTATCTATATAAATTTTTAGAAATTTTAGCGTACTTTTGCATAAAAACTTGTATAACTTTTTGCTGCAAACTAACGACAGTATTCGTCATCAGTATCATATTTTTTTGTTGAACGAGTTTGTTTCAAGACCTTAAAAAAGCTTGAGAAAATCTTTCTAATTGTATCATACAGAATAGAACTAGAAAATAGTATTGTGTTTTGTTTTTTTTTGCAAAAGATATATATATATATATATATATATATTTGTATAGTATAATAGATAAGAGTAGGAGTGACACT